CAATATACTCTGCTTCAGTTGTAGATAGTGCGACACACTTCTGCAACTTCGACTGCCATGATATAGCTCCCCCTGAAAAAGTAAACAAATATCCAGTAGTGGATTTTCTATTATCAAGGTCACCTGCCATATCAGAATCTGTATAGCCCTTCAAAATTGGATTTGATCCTCCAAAACATAAGCATTCATGTGAGCTTCCTCTTAGATACCTGAGTATCCACTTTACAGCTTCCCAATGCTCTTTTCCCGAATTTTCGAGAAATCTGCTAACAACACCGACTGCATGAGCAATATCTGGTCGAGTGCATACCATTGCATACATCAAACTTCCGACGGCAGAGGAATAAGGAATCTTGGACATTCTCTCTTTTTCCTCCGTTGTTGTAGGACACATCTTCTTGCTCAACTTCAGATGACCAGGAAGGGGTGTGTGGACCAACTTAGCACTTTTCATATTGAAGCGCTCCAGTACACGTTCTATGTACTTCTCCTGTGACAAGTAAAGCTTCCTTTCATTTCTCGAACGAGTAATTCTCATGCCCAAGATCTGCTTAGCATGACCCCAAGTCTTTCATTGCAAAAGACTTATTCAACTGTTTCTTCAACTCGTCAATCTTGGAAGCATTCCTACCCACAATCAACATATCATCCACATATAGCAAGAGGATGATAAAGTCATCATCAGAAAATCTTTGTACAAACACACAATGATCTGAAGAAGTCTTCTTGTAGCCTTGCTCCCCCATAACAGACTCAAACTTCTTGTACCACTGTCTGGGAGCTTGTTTCAATCCATATAGACTCTTCTTAAGTTTGCATACAAGATTTTCTTTACCTTTTACCTTGAAGCCCTCAGGTTGTTCCATATAAATCTCCTCTTCTAAGTCACCATGAAGAAAAGCAGTCTTCACATCCATCTGCTCAATCTCCAAATCAAGACTAGCAGTCAAACCAAGAACTGTACGAATGGAGGACATTTTCACAACAGGAGAAAATATTTCATCAAAGTCAATACCTTTCCTTTGACCAAATCCCTTGACAACCAATCTAGCTTTGTATCTGGGCTTCAAACTATGTTCTTCAGCTTTAACTTTGAACACCCACTTGTTTTTCAAAGCTCTCATGCCCTTAGGCAATTTCACCAACTCATAAGTATGGTTCTCATGTAGAGATTTCATCTCATCTTGCATGGCTTCAATCCATTGATCCTTGTGCTCATCTTCTATGGCCTCCGCATAACATTCAGGTTCTCCCCCATCAGTGAGTAATACATACTCATTGGGTGAATAACGGGAGGAAGGAGTACGAGGTCTAGAAGACCTCCTGAGTGGAATATCTAACTCGTCCACAGCTTCGTGAGTAGAAGCATCTGCCTCATCAACATTAGCATTGTTATCACCATCACCATCAATATGCTGATCTGGAATATGGTTCTGGGCATCACCATCATCATTGAGCCCACCGACATCATCCGCATTTGTATGAGGAACTTGATCAAGATTAACTAAACCTTCAGAACTTGGAGATTTTAGCTTCTCCGCTTTGTTAATATCTTCAATGGTTTGATCCTCTACGAAGATAACATCACGGCTTCTCACGACCTTCTTCTCAATTGGATCATATAGCCTGTAACCAAACTCATCAAGGCCATAACCAATGAAGATGCACTGCCTTGTCTTAGTATTTAACTTTGACCTCTCATCTTTAGGCACGTGTACAAAAGATTTGCAACCAAACACTTTCAAGTGGTCATAGGAAATATCCTTGCCATACCAAACTCTGTTTGGAACATCACCTTGCAAAGCAACCGTAGGGGATAGATTAATAACATGTGCGGCGGTCAACAAAGCCTCACCCCAAAAGGAATTCGGCAACTTTGCTTCAGAAAGCAAACATCTGACTCTTTCCATCAAGGTCCTGTTCATCCTTTCTGCTAAACCATTAAGCTGAGGAGTCTTTGGAGGAGTCTTCTGGTGTCTGATACCCTGATGCTTGCAGTATTCGTCAAACGGTCCACAATATTCACCACCTTTATCAGTACGAATACACTTCAGCTTCTTTCCAGTTTCTCTTTCAACTGAAGCCTGAAACTGCTTAAAGACACCCAACACTTGGTCTTTAGTTTTCAAGATGTAGACCCAAAGTTTCCTTGAGCAATCATCAATAAAGGTAGCAAAATAAAGTGCACCACCCAAAGTCCTTGTCTTCATTGGACCACATAAATCCGAATGCACCAACTCAAGCAACTCTGTCTTTCTTGAAGGAGGATGAGACTGGAAAGAAACTCTTTTTTGTTTTCCAGCCAAGCAGTGCTCACATTTTTCTAATTTTGCACTTTCAAAATTTGACAACAATTTCTTCTTGGCCAAAACATTTAGTCCTTTCTCGCTAATGTGGCTAAGCCTCTTATGCCATAATGTTGAAGAGTTATTGCTCTCAACGGCATTCACCATATCAACACAGGTAGAGGCCGTAGTCCAGTATAGACCACGACGCTTTTCCCCACGAGCCACAATCATGGAACCCTTAGTGAGCTTCCACTTTCCAGCACCATTGGTACTGACATATCCCTCATCATCCAAAACACCAACAGAGATCAAGTGCAAACGAACATCCTGTGCATGCTTTACATTGTTTAAAACTAGTTTAGTTCCAATACTAGTTTCCAAACAAATCGTTCCAACACCAGCCACCCTAGATACAGTCTCATTACCCATACTCAAAGTTCCAAAGTCACCCTGAGTATAGGATGAGAAAAATTCCTTCCTTGATGTCACATGAGATGCGGCACCACTGTCCACAACCCAGCTTGACTCATCACAAGCAATATTTATCAGATCCGCATCAAGGACAGTAACAAGATCTTCTGTAGTGACGGTGGCCACACGATTTCCATCTTCTTTATGTTCTTCCTTGTCTCTATTCTCCTTTTTCAAAATCCGGCAGAACTTCTTTGTGTGCCCTTTCTTCCCGCAATGATAGCACTCAATATCTTTAAGTCTGCTTCTGGATTTGCTTCTATTATGTTCTCTATTTTGAAAACCTCGATTCTTGCTTCTCCCCCTAGAGTCAGTCACCAAGACATCTGATGAGAAGGAACCTTGATATTTTCTTCTCATCTCTTCATTTAAAAGGCTGCTCTTGGCAAGATCCATAGAGATCACACCATCCGGAGCAAAATTTGATAATGGAGTTCTAAGAATTTCCCAAGAATCTGGTAGAGAACCAAGTAGAAACAAGCATTGAATTTCTTCATCAAATTTAATGCCCATAGCAGATAACTGGTTCATGATCCCCTGAAAATTATTCAGATGATCTTTTATTGCGGAACCATCGTGGTATTTTAAACCCAACATCTGCTTTATTAGAAACATCTTGTTGTTTCCAGTTTTCTGAGCATACAGACTTTCAAGGTGCTCCCATAGGGTCCGAGCATGTGTCTCCCCAGAAATATGGTTCAAAACATTATCGTCAACCCACTGTCTAATAAAGCCACAAACCTGCCTGTGTAACAAATTCCACTCTTCATCTGATTTATTATCAAGCTTTATAGTAGTGAAGACAGGTTGATGAAAATTCTTGACGTAGAGCAAATCTTCCATTTTGCCCTTCCAAATGGCATAATTTGTGCCACTCAAAGTAACCATTCTACTAGTGTTGGCTTTCATCGTTTATCACAAATACAAATACTATTTATTATGAGACCAAAGTAATTCTTTTCTGATGTGAAAGTTCAGACTATGCTGCAACCACAGAGCAAACTCAGACAGAACCTTGGCTCTGATACCACTTGTTGGGAATAAACCCCGTAAAAATAGTATTCACGGTATTAGTGATAAACGCGGAAATACTAAGTTATGGTTAAATCAGCAAGAATAAAAATGCAGCAATAATGACACCCAGATTTTACGTGGAAACCCTTCTGAATAAGGGAAAAACCACGGCCAAGAGGAGCAACTGATATCACTAGAGCGAGAAATTTTACACTGTGTAGTAATGAGTAAAAAATACTCCTAAGACCACTACACCCTCAAAAGAAATAAACACTCTTTTGCTTTTTTCACCTCACTACAATATCTCTCACACTCTATTTTTCTTCACAAACAATTTTTTTTTATAGTTTATGGAATACCTTGCTCTCTCTCTTTTCTCTCTTTGTTGGTGTATCTTAAAATGAAGGTAGAGGCACCTATTTATAGTTGCAGAATACCTATGTTGATGTATGCAGTGACATCAACTCTACTGTAAAAGTCAGCCGCCCAAATCTTAAGTCAACCGCCCAAATCTTTTCTTGAATTGGCTGGCTTGACAAAAGGAGAAAAGAAGAAGCTTTTCCACATATGGGGCTGGACCCCACAAAATGGTCTGTCTGCTGCATATACAAATCTTAATATGGAGCAATTAATTTTTCTCGCGCTACTTTATTGCGAACATATAATAACCTGTAAAAAATACGTAGGGAATTTATTTTTTCTTTTCTTACAATTTTTAAAATTCTTAAGAACCAAAATTAAGTAACAAGTGCTTCAAATTTAAACGATCGAAAGCTGTGGCGGGATAAATAAGATCTCTACGTCCTAACCAAAGGTCTCGGATTCGAGTCTTGCTATGAATAGAAAAAATCCTGATAGTGAACGTTTCCCCTTTAACGAACCTTACGTGTGCCAATTTGAATTAGTTGGAGCCAAACAACATTGTATATTGGGTGAAAAACAAGAAAGCTTTTCAAAATAAAAACTCATAACCACCAAACAGTTCTCCTAACTTTTTTAAATTGAGAGAAAAAAGGAAATATATGACTAGAATATAGCTCCAAATTAAGGAGGGAGTCATGACCTGTCCCATAATACAAGTCATTTACTTTGACTGGCAAAATTTTTTTTTATCTATAAACTCTATTGATTTTCCTTTTGTTTTATTCTCTTTTTTTTTTTTAACCAAACTCTCTAGTTTCAAAAGCTATATTTATCTCACTTTCTTCCTTCTAATATTTTGTGACCATGAGTGAAACCATAACAAATCCCACTGACTGGGTACAAATCTATCAACATTCCCTCTCACAACAACCTCAAACTTCTCCGCCGTCAACCACCGTCTTCGGCGGCGGCCGACTCTCCGATGCCACGGTGGTCACCGCCACACCATCTTCCACTAGTCCTGGTCATCACAGCCCCCTGAGCCGTGATTCCAGGCCCATTAGGAGAAGATCCAGGGCTTCAAGGCGAACCCCAACAACTGTATTCAATACAAACACAACCAATTTCCGAGACATGGTTCAACGGTTCACTGGAAGCCACAGTGAACCATCTCCATTCGCAGGACTCGAACCCGAGACATTTGGGTCGAGGAATACTAATCTTCATCAGCAGATAGTGAATCCAAGTACTACTCCTAGTGCTTACAGTATACAGTTTCAGCAGCAAGTACAACAAACTTTGCCCTACACAAATCTCCCCCCTCACGGTCATAATATTGGCCATGAAGCTTTTTTTCATAGACTAGGCAACAGTTCTTCTAGATCTAATATGGAGGTTTCTGAGAATTTGATTATGGATAATAGAACTCTGTTTCCTCCTCAACATCAACGACGAGGACAAGAATGAAAATGTTTACGTTAGTACCACCAAAAAATGTGGTGGAATGAACGAGATTCTTCCGATCTTATTCAGAAATCTCAAGTTCGAACCTTAGGAATGAAGAAATTTCTGTCACGGAATATGCAACGCGAATTTAAATTAGTCGGACCAGGATTCAGTTTATTACTCTGTTGATTGTCGACATAACTTGAATTAATAGTTTGGGACCATGACTTATAGCTTCTGACTTTTCAACCAAGTAAGAAAAAGTGATCTTTTGTACATAGAACAAGTTGATTCGCTTCTCTTTCTTTTTATTTTTATTTTAAATACTATACCTACTTTTTTTTTGGGGGGCATAGGATTGTAACTTTACTTGCTCTTTGGTCTTTTTTGACAAGTAATTCCTCGATATCTTTATTGCTTTTTTTACACACTAAAGTTTGTGGTTTAATGGGTTCTCTTATTGTATGTTTTTTCCTTTTTTTTGGGCATCATTTAATTTTTAACTTGGCGTTTTTTTCTGAAATTTTGATCATTATCTCCAAGGTGAACGTTGGGCTCATTCATCTCTGGGAAGAGAAGTAAGATCCTTATGAAACTAAAATATATCCTCTTTTTAATTTATGAGGCACACTTTTATTTTTAGTCTATGTTAGTATACTGTATTTGTAAAATAATTTTGGAAATATAAATGAATATAAACAGAAATGACAGAAAACCAATTCGAGCCCACTGAATTCACAGTGTTTCCTTAAGGAATTTAATCCCCTCCTAGTACCCAAGGTTATGGATTATTTCCTCCCAGGATAGAACGAATTACACACTGGTGTAGTGGTACTTCAAACCCCAGTGTTTCAGCGAACACAAAGTTCGGTAGCAAATCACACTTACTTTTTGCTTTGTTTGATGCTAAAAGTATACAGAAGAAGGAGAAGAAACTTAGAAAATCGTAGTGATAGCAGAATAATGTTATATTTATAGCCAAAGTTGGGCTGAAATCTGAAGAGGTGCAACTCTTCAGAATGGCTGTTTATGCAAAACGCCCACAGCATAAATGTCATTACATAAATGGCAATTTACTCAACAATAAAGAGGGAAAATAAATAGGGAAAATTGAAGAGGGTAGTTATTTTTCTGTTACCAAAACAGAAAAACGGATTGGATTTAATATTAATATTTAATATTAATATTCTGTTATTAAAATAAATATTTAATAACATTTCTGTTAATATTTTACTATTAACAAATAAATTTGGTCCAAAAAGTTAATCACCGAAACCGAGCCGAGCGACGACTGCGCGAGACTTGCCTTCTTCTCAACTCTTTAAGAGCTAGAAGAAGAGCAATTGCTTATATACCCATAAAAAAACTCTTCCTCTTCCAATATGGGACAATGCCCATTTGCCAAAGGGGGAACTTAAAATTTCACTCAAAAATTTCATTTCCCTCCATTTCCCATTCACCCTCTTTTAAGTATTTAATATATTAATTAAATACATCCAAAACCCAACAGTCTATCCCAAAAAAAAAAAATTATATTTAAAAATAGTTTAACTTTAAACTTTTCATTTTATCTCTAATGAGGTATTATAGCCGCACAATGGCCATGGCTTGTTTTAGACTAAAAAGTCTTTTTTTTAATTATTGATACATAAAATCAGACGGAGGGAGTCATATATAAATTATAATTAATAAAAGAATAAGTACCTGATGTGTTCAAAAGATTAAACTTTTTGAAGTTGCATGTACTAAATTATTAGCGTGTTCATATCTAGTACGCATATGAACGCCTGAAAATGATGTTGCATGTCATGCTGAATAAGAAGATGTTGTTTGTGTGTGACATAAATAGTAGGAGAAAGGAAGTTTACAAGAGAACTTTGATGGTATTAAAATTTACTTCATTCATTTTTACTTATCAATTATACTAAATAAAAATATTACTTTTACTTGTTCATTATACTAAATCAAGAGAAAGACAATTTTTTTTTCTTGTTTTACCCTTATTATTAACTACTCATTCCGCAAATCATTTTTTAAATTTTTGGAAATGCTATTATTATTATGGGTAAAATTGTAAAATACATACTTCATTTATTTTTTCTTAAAAGGAGTGCAAAGTCAAAAATAAACAGCTAAAAGTGAACAAAGAGAGTAATTATTTAGAAAATACATGTCAAAATACAACTATAAGACTAAATGAATTCCACTAATCAGTATACTGATCGACAATAAAATATCAGCCCACTGTCAAAAAAAACAATGTGTTATATATTTCAACATAAATTAATATGCTTCCTTGACAAAGTCAATTCTTGTTCCTCACTGCTCTTATTTTATGTAATTAATTGACCGATTTTAACCATATGATAGTTTAACATCGAATCACCTAGAAAGTAACTACAAATAATTGTGTTACATACACGTTATTTGGAAATTAAGATAAATAACCTGTTGGAGTACAACAAATTTATTATACGTTGCTAGTGTAAAATAATTCTGCATTACTAGTGTGTATGAATTAAATTTTACTGTGTATACGTTGGTATATGACTTTAACTTTAATTGACTAACATTATTAAGGATTTAGCTATCAAGTTACTTAAAAAATAACTATAAGTAATTACCATAATAAGTGAAAATTGCTAGTTGTTTGCTCTTCGCTACACTTTTGGTCCGTCATTTATAGGAGATCCACGTGTTCAAATTATTCGAGGAAAAAAACCTGAATTGACCCCTCAACTTTTGAAATAACCCTTAGGTTGGAGCTCCATTAATAAGGGTAAAAGAGTAAAAAAAAAAAAGACTTTTTCTAATGCGAGGTAACATTAGACACAAAAACGGACAAAATTGCTCAATTTCAGATAACACAGGAGCAAATTTGATCTATTTCACTAGAATATTTGATACAATGGACTTAATTCTAACCCCAAACAGACCAATAAAGGTTTGATATATATCACTTCGATTTGTTCGAGTTTGAGGTCTTTCCTTGTGTTGGTCTGATGCATCACTTCGATTGTGTCTGTTATGTCTCATTCTGATTCACGTGGTATTCTATCACATACGGGCGGAACTGGGATTTGAAATTTATAGATTCTAAATTTGCAGTCAAATTTATAACGTGTCTTATTTTATTCGGTTTGCAATTGAATATTTATAGAATTTCAGTGAATTTTTAACTATATAATAAGTGAGAGTTGTTGGTACGACGAAGGGTAATTTTGAAATTTCACTGAGTCCAGCTGTTATGCTTCTTATATACACACGTGTATGCTGTAATACAACACATATATTGCCATTTAGTACATATATAAATGAGTCTAACAAAAGTTAGTGGATTCGTCTGAACAGGTATGTACTACTATGACTCCCCCGATCAGATATCGCGTCTTATGGTAAGTGCAAATATAGATAACATGGAAAACACGTCCATTTACATGGCTGTGCTCAGCACGAACAACCTTCACTAGTAAATTAGAAATGAGGGTACATAACCAACTAAAATCGATGAAATCTCAGAGTATAGATAAACTTTATTGAAAAAAGTATTACTATTAATTATTGAGAATTCTCCATTATACTCTGTATGAAACCTCCAATAGAAGTGTAAGAAGTTCCACCTTCCATTTGTGCTGCTCTGCTCTTCTCCTTCATCTCCTTCACCTTCACCCGAATTTCACTTTCGGAATCCATAATTTCCTTTATTGCTCTATCAATCTCCTCGGCTTTCACTATAACTTCTTTGCCCATCACTTTCATATCCTTCCTATAATCCATCTTAATCTCCACTCCCATTCTCAAATCCTTAACCAATTGAAATGCATTCGCTTGTTGCTCCGCGTACATTGGCCAAGTTGCTATTGGCACGCCAAAGTACGTACTTTCCAAAGTCGAATTCCATCCACAGTGTGACACAAATCCTCCTACCGATTTATGTGACAAAATCGCCAACTGAGGTGCCCATCCTATTACTTTTCCAATCCCTTTTGTTCTTTCCAAGAACCCTTCTGGCAAGATTTCGTCAAGATTTTCATAGTCACTTGGAAATCTTGCATCTTCGGTTGGTGGTCGTCTTAACGACCACAAAAACCGACACCCACTGTTCTCCAGAGCATAGGCTATTTCCTTAACTTGTTCTATTTCAAAGCTTCCACCACTACCAAAACAAAGAAACACTACAGATGAAGCAGGTTGATCATCTAACCATTTCATAATATTCTGTTCAGATGAACCTAAGTTTTCACCTTGAGCATTACCAAGGTTCAATACTGGTCCGACATGGTATATAGGTGGAAGATTCTTGTCGCGTGAGAGCGAGTTTAATGCATGGGATTCGAGCTCTAGAAACGTGTTTATCATAATACCTTTGGTTTCTCGAAACCTTTTTGCGAGATCAAGAAACATTGTTGAACCACCTTCTTTGTCTAAGGCTACAGAGGGCAAACATTTTGCTGGAAATGGATTGAGATATGTTGCTATAGAGAGTTCTTTTTCAGGTTCGTCTTTGTACTTGGTAATATCTTTGTTAAATTCATCCCTAAGGCACTGTATATGAAACTGCAGACCTAGAGTTGCTGCACCAGAGGTGTAGAAAACATAGGTTGGTAGCTCGAACTCATTAGCCACGTCTATCATTGAGGTGCAGAACAAGTCGATAACAATCCCTGGACAATTAATTTTAGCATGGTAAGTGAACTTTATCCTATAACAGTAATGTCATAAAACTATTTCTTGTAATATTAAAATTGAATATTACCGACTATATAGTAAAAGGCGTTAAACTTTATTCGCTATAACATTAAGTCATTAAAATATTACTCTATCACATTAAAACAACTCAACTTTATCTACTATAACAGTAAAAGTATTATAGTTTGTCCACTACAACGATAAATCTATGCATCGAAAGTGATTTTACTAACAACAACAACAAGAAGAACACACTCAGTATAATCTCACATAGTAGGGTCTGGAGAGGGTATGTAGATATTAACCCCACCTTGTGGAGATAGAGATGATGT